GAGTAGAAGTTGAGTTAAGATTGGTTATAGTTGATTCTCCCTTGCCGGGATGTATTTACTTTTACTGTCGAATCCCTTGCCGGGATAGTGTAGTTTATTGTTGATCCCTTGCCGGGACTCTTGGTATGGTTGTTGCTAAAAGTATATAAATATATGGATCAGGTTGCACGCCGCAACAATACTAAATATGGATCGGATTGCACACCGCAACAATGTTATATTGGATCGGGTTGCACGCCGCAACAATGTTATATCGGATCGGGTTGCACGCCGCAACAGTGATATAATTGGATCGGGTTGCATGCCGCAACAGTGATATAAATGGATCGGGTTGCACGCTGCAACAGTGTTAAATGATAAGGGATCGGGTTGCGTGCCGCAACAGTATTATTATTGTTTTGTTGTAGATTTTGAATTGTTCTCTCATATTTCTCTTGAGTTCCTGCTGGACTTGGTATGTTCCCCGCAGCATATACCCCCTCCCATCTTTATTTGTTTATTTCTGTTTTTTTTCCGCTGTATATTATATAACTGCACAGGTTTATCTGGAGTCTGGTCCTAGCCTCGTCACTACTTCGCCGGGGTTAGGCCAGGCACTTACCAGCACATGGGGTCGGTTGTGCTGATGCTACGCTCTGCACTATGTGCAGATCCCGGAGCAGCTTTTGGACAGTAGCACTTGGAAAGGCTGCCTTCAGTCCAGTTAGAGATCCCAAGGTAGTCCTGCAGGCGTCCGCAGGCCCGGCGTTCTCTTCTATCTTACTATGTGTTTTGTTTTCACTTGTTTCCGAGACAGACTGTATTTCTTTTTTTTTCAGACACTTGTATGTAGTACTCATAGACAGTCCGTGATATTGTGACACCAGATTCCTGGTAGAGGATTATATTGGCATTGTAGTACTGGCTTTGGTTATTTTATTTGTTTAAGTCTTCCGCTGGTTCTGTTATCGTTAATATTCAATGTTGATAACCTGTTAATCTAAGTTGTTAAAAGGGGTTAAAATATGAGAGTTAGTGATTTCTATATTTCGCGGCTTGCCTAGCTTCTACGAGTAGGCGCCATCACGACTCCCGAGGGTGGAAAATTCGGGTCGTGACACTTATACATACGACATACGGGCCTATAAGACCAAAATAACCACTCGTACACTGAACATAGGCCGACAAGGCCATACAATCTTTTACGCACATGACATCGGTCTACAAGCCTCTAAGAATACATAATTTTCATAAAGGTCGGGACAGAGTCCCGCCATACCAAACAATACATGTCTAAATCATACTAACCAAACAAGCAACTCCGAAGCAAATGGAGCGCACAACATCTTCCGCTGAGCTGATAGCCTACTTGGAGGGCTCTCGACCTGTCTATCGGGACCTCCGGGCATGAAACGCAGCGTCCCCAGGCAAAAGGGATGTCAGTACAAATAATGTACCGAGTATGTAAGGAATAAAAATCAGTAAATAATAGACATGAGAGAAATATGGAGTAAAAGACTCAACATGTATATCTAAATAGCTCTGAGAATCATTTAATATTATAATGTCATACCATGCATGGGTATATGCGTTCATAACATCATCAAGCCTCTGAGGGCATCCCATCATATCATCTCGGTCACCGTGGGCAAAATCATCAACGTATACCAACTGATCAGGTGCTGGTGCGTATATAACGCCATAACCTTTTCCCATATCCCATATACATATATATACATATATACGCGTATATAACGCCATCTGGCCGTGGGTCAATGTACATGAATGCGATGCATGAGAAGTACGTCAATAAAATCTCTTGGAATGTCGTAAGACCATTATGCCTTCGAGTAATACCATGCATGAAGTAAACTTTTTTTTTCAACTTACGTATTTTTCTGAGACCCGTGAACAAATGATAGAATAATATGACACATGGAAATTCAAGAACATAGGCACCTCTAATACTTCTATGAATAGAGTCATTCACGGAAGTTGTGCATTTTCTCGTTTCATTTGTGCGTATAGATCATGCCAAAAGAAAGAAGGGATAGCCTTAACATACCTGCCGATTCTCTTGACAATTCCTCTAACACACGTTAATTGCGACAACACATAACGGCGGATCGGAGTAGGGAAAAAATCCGTATGCAATCTCTCTGAAACGTGATGTTGTATCTTCTAAGTTTTGGGGGGGGGGGGGGGGGGGGAGTAAGCAAACATTATTTGTATTGCTAAAGTGCCTATATTTGTGTAAATTACGTTTTAAAAAGGCTTACAGAATGGTGGAGTGCACATATTTGTATAAATCATGTTCAAAAGGTTTAAAGCTATATGAATCTTGTTAAATGCTCTAAAATGGTGACACCTTGCCATGTCTTATATTAGTCACTTAGTAGCTTTTACTGAAACTCATGAGCTGCCGCGTTAAAGGTAAGTCCCTCAAACTTATTCAATTTTTAATTAATTAATAATTTATTAATCTTCTACTAATCAATAATTAATCAATTACCCACATAATTAAGAATTATCTCAAATTACTAAGAATACTACTTACTTTTAACACACCTTATACACCTTATTATTATGCTATGGGGTACCTTGTATGGTACTAGGCCATAAATACCGGGTATTTTAGCTCGGCCGTATATTATCCCAAAATATCAAACCTCGATGAAATTCATTTTCTTCGACTTGCTTACCCTCTCAACTTCACGAATTTACTCATTACTTGTTTGATAGCATAAAATGCTTATAATCTTAAAATAATCTCATTTCCGAACTTACGTCGATTAACTCACGACGAAACTTTAATGTACGAAAAATACGGGATGTAATATCTCATTTCCGAGCTTTCACCAATTTGCTTATGGTATACTTTTACGTACGAAAACATGGGGTTTAACATCGGAATTCTGTCATTTTCCACTAGTGGTAGATTGTCGGATCAGGAAAGGTAAAAAGTAATAAGAATAAAAAGGCACATACACTACTAGAAATTAGGCGATTTCCGTCCACAATTTGCGACCGAAATCGGTCGGAAATTGACAATTTCCGACCAAATTCCGACCGTTTTTAATTGGACGAAAAAACAATGGTCGCAAACTTTGCCCGACCGCAGTTGGTCGGAAATTTTCGACCGAAATTGGTCGGAAAAAATTGGTCGGAAATTTCCGACCAATGTTGGTTGAAAAATTCAATGCGTTGACTGCCAGTGTCAAACTTTATTTTCCGACCGAATTCGGTCGGAAAGTATTAAATATTAATTTTTTTGATTTTCAAATTTCCGATCGAAATCGGTCGGAAAATATTATTATTATTTTTTAAATTTTAGTTTTAATTAAATAATAATATTATTTAATTAAATAATTATTTTGTAAATTGTTAATTTATTTAAAAAATAAATATAAATTCATAATTTCCGACCGAATTCGGTCAGAAATTTCACTAATCTGGGGAATTTATTTGAAATTTCCGACCGAAATCGGTCGGAAATTATAAATTTCTGGGCAAAAAAATTAATTTCCGACCGCATTCGGTCGAAAATCTGGGTAAAAAACTGGGCAGGAAATGACAGCTTTTAAGCTACACTACCTGCCAATTTAAACCAATATACTTTCTATAATGGCAACTTACATTGCTGTCATTCAACCATGAAAACCCAACAAAATAACAACTAATAACCACCAAGAACAACAACAATTAACCAACAACTAATAACCACAACAACAACTACTAAAGTGTTCAATAACAATATAATATCATTCAAATAACCAACAACAAAATATTGACAAGTTCACAACTTTGTTTAACAATACACAACATTCAATGAGTTTTTTATGTAGCATCATCTTCATCTTCGTTCCCAGGACCTTCATCGCCGGCGGGTGGGGAAGGAGGAGGAGACCGGGGAATGGGGAAAGCACCACAAGCAAGAAGATTGGCCAGCTGACCTTGAAGCATTTCAAATTGTTTGTCCCTTCTTTCTAGCTGACCTTGAAGGGTATCAAATCTCTTCTTTTCTCTAGCCTTGTTCTCTTCAAGCTCTGCTGTCAGCTTTGCGATCTTCTCTTCCATAGAGGATATAGCCGAACTATCAATCTCCTCCCCTTGGGCGGAAGTCCCTATACCTTGCAATCCAGCCCTGTAGCGCCGAAACGATTTATCTGAAAGGTCGTATTCCATCCCCTTTTTAGGACCACCGACAGTATCCAACCATATCCTCTTCTCTTCTTCGTCTGAAATGGGCGGTCGCTCGCCTTGCTCATTCGGTGGCAAGCTGTTTGTGTACTCCTCCAAATTGATCTTGTAGCGACCCTTTATTTAGAAGATAGAAAATTACTAACTATATAATATTATAAACATTTATAGTAGTTATGAAACTTACATGTGTAGTCTCTTCCCGGTCCTCGACCCATTTAGTTGGATCTGTCGGTGCCTTCTTCTTTCGGATGTGAGTCTCCATGAAGAACTCATCATGGCTCATCTTCCTCCCCAATTTTTTTTCCTACAAATATAATAAACGTGTTAACGAAAGTTGTACCTATACTAGCATTTTGTTGTAAAAACAGAGTGCAATTTAAGAGATAGAAATTTTAAGTAACTAGATCCTTGAGAGAAACATAGAATCAAAAATACAACATGAAGCTGAGATTATATGGAGTCCACTTGAGCTTCACTGATTATTCCTTGTAAATTGGTTTTTCTTTCAGTGAGTGGATTGATGATTTCAAACTGTATATAAATTTCGTTCATCCAGCTAACAAACTAACCACATTCAACTATCAATCCATTAAAATGCACACATACTGTATGGCAATATATATATATATATATATATATATATATATATATATATATATATATATATATATATATATATATATATATATAAGCAAGGAAGCTGAACAAAAACAACCTCATTTAGTATAAATATGGTAGTCACGTAATTCTGCAGTTAATAATATATACTACTTCAGATTTGTGGGTGTTTTTCACTTTTTACATACATAATTAAACTTTTAAGTAAGAAATAACTTCAAAAGGGTAGGAGGAATTGGCAAGAACTGACGATGACAATCAAACCATGACTGCTTTCGGCCATGTTTTAAAGTGAACGCTTTACCATTTTTCATGCAGTAAGGACATGCTAACTTTTCGGCAGTCATCCACCCAGACAAAATTCCATACGCAGGAAAATCATTAATGGTCCACATTAAGTTAGTACATAAGTTAAAATTTTGCTTAGTTGATATATCATATGTCTCAACTCCATCATACCACAACTGTTTAAGCTCATCAATCAAAGGTTGCAAATATACATCAATCAAACTCTTTGGATTGCGGGGACCGGGAATAACACAATTTAAAAATATATATGGACTAGTCATACACATTTCAGGAGGAAGATTATACGGAGTAATAAAGACCGGCCAGTATGAATATGGTGTTGCAGAAACAGAAAATGGCGTGAAACCATCAGCACACAAACCCAATCGAACATTCCTCGGTTCACTAGCATAATCCGGATACGTCCTATCAAAATGCTTCCAAGCTTCCCCATCTGAAGGGTGACACATAACACCGGGCGGCCTTCTATTTTCATAGTGCCATCTCATATGAGGAGCGGAACTCATCGATGCATACAATCTCTTTAATCTAGGAATAAGAGGTAAGTAATGCATCGACTTCACAGCAGCCTTCTTCCCGCTGGAAAGCCTCTTAAAACGAGGTTTTTCACAAAATATTACAACTTTCTAAATCTGCATCACCCTTATAATACAACATGCAACCATCTTCACAACAATCAATTCTCACAGACGAGAGTCCTAACTTAGAAACCAATCTTTTAGCCTTATAAAAATCTACAGGTATGTTGAAATCTGGGTCAACTAGTTCACTCATAAGCCCAATGAAAGAATCCATTCCTGCTTGAGAAATATTGGTATCTGATTTGATACTTAATAATCTAACTGTAACAGACAACTGAGAGTGCATACTCCGTTGTTTTAGTGGACGACTAGCAGCCTCTAACTGTTCATAAAAATATTTTGCTTCTTCAATAGGAGGTTGTTCAACACTTTCGTTGGTTTCAAAATCGAAGTGCATCCCTAGAGCATCCGCAACCATTTCATGGTATCTCGGATGTTGAACGTTATTCCCCACCGACCTACTACTTTGACCAACTACATTATGAAATACACCATCAGTACCATCAATCTCTCCATGACTAGTCCACACAAAATAATTATCCTTAAACCCTTTTTGACAAAGATGAGTCTTAACATCCTCTGGTCCAAAATAATGCAAACACTTGCACTTCACACAAGGACACCTAATCAACCCTCCAATCCGAAACGGTTCAAGTGACATTGCATGCGTAATAAATTCCTCAACCCCTTCTATAAATTCCTCCATCAAAAACTGACGATTAGGATAATTCCTATTATACATCCAACTACGATAATCCATCTACATAAAGAACGAATAAATTACATGTTATATTGATCATAATTCAAATTAATGGTGCAGACACACAATTAAAGAGAAGACAAACACTTTATTTTGTTGGAATGGTACATGTCTTTCAACAAAACAATGATAGTTGACACTTGAAAGCAACACAACTTGTATGAGAACGACACAATTAAGCAAATACAAGCAGAATAGAGAAAGAAAAAAGTAAATCATGATCGAACCATTTACTTAAGTGCGCGCTATCATCAAGAATTTTAAGAGAGAAAGTTAGTAATTACACTAACAATACTAATTACACTAACTCATATATAGATGCCACCTGCCACATTCTGAGAAAAAAATTGACAAAGAGAATCACCAACCTGAAGTAGATAACAGTACGTAGCAGAACAACAAAATCCTATTTCAAGTCTTACAGCACCCTCCACTTATCAAGTCGTTCTACCAAGGTAAATTCCCGAATACGGAAAGTTATACAAGTTGGTCCAACTTCAAGCTGCTTCACAAGTTTCGCTCCAAGTCAATCCGGTTCACCTACATTGCACAAGTGTAATTAGCATTACAAAGAAATGAGGGAAAACAGATAAATACAGGAAAATAAAGAAAAGTACTTAGATCGAAATGATAGTTTATTTGCACGAGATTTTTACGCCAAAATGACATATGCTTGCACGTGAAACTTTAACTATTTAACTATGAGAATTAATGTATATCTTCAACTTATTTTAGCATTGAACTATCCTAATTATTTAATATGATTTGGTGTAAGGTGTAAGGCCTGAAAATTACAAAGTTGGAAGTTTTTATATGAGTAAAACAGAATTTGTTGCCGTTAATTAGGTGCAGCTTCTTGCACAGAGTAGAAAAGGTTTATATATGTTGCACCATGTCCAGCACACAATGGCATAGACAGGTCCAAGATTGTAGTCATCAAATCTGAAAATGATGAAAAACACACATTAAAACCAGCTGGAAATCTAACATTCTCTACAACCTTGTGCACTTCTGCTATCTTATGGCCACACTATAAATATCCACCATTGCAAAAGTTGCCACCTTTTCCCAAGATTCATTCTTGGAAAAAGAAACATTACCCTAAGATGTATTTACCTCTACTCCCTATTCATAATAAACCTTTCCCTCCAATTTATAAGAAGCCATTTCCACCTTCAATTCCTATCTACAAACCAAAACCAAAGGCACCAGTAGTGAAGCCTCCTTCAGTTCCTATTTACAAACCAAAGCCACCAGTATTTAAATCTGAATTTGTATGAATTTTTGGCAGGAAAATAAAAACAGATTCTCTAATTCCTTATTCCGCACTGGCGATTTGTGCACAAATTTGTATGAATTTTTGGCAGAACTCCACCATTAGAAAAAGTCTATTTTGATTGTCAAATTCACAAACAAGAAAAAAAACAATCGGACATAACCCCCACATCAATTTACATACAAAATCCAAGTGTCTATTTATACAAACAAAAGAGTAGAAAGAGGGGGATGCAGCAGAAACAATTTCGAAATAATTTAAAACTTACCTAATCAAAGAGGCTGTGTAATGGTTGCTCGGAGAGCTGAAGGACAACACGAGCATTGGCGCTTATACGTCTACCAGTTCCGAGCAAAACCGCCAGGAAGACTACTTTTCACAAGCTTCAGAAGTTCCTTCACGTTTCCAATTCCGGCGGCGCTGGTGCTTCGGCGACGGAAGCTGATACTACGAGTGTAGGGATTTTGGAAGTGAGAGATAAAAGGGAATGGCTTTGAATGTGCGAGAGAAGAAGGATGTTAGGGCTAAGAAAGAGAAAAGGAAAGGTGAAAGAGAAAGAGAAAGGCGTGACTGAGGCGGAGAAAGAGAAAAGAGTAAAAAAAGTTAGGGCTTTTGCTGAAAAAAACTAATTATAACTATTACACTTTTTTACTTAATGTAATTATCAATTGATTGCCTAATAAATTGTTAATATTAATTGACGATATTGCTAATATAGTTTTACTTACTTTAGTTGTCAATTCAAGATATTTAAACAATCACCAGTCTTTGTCAATTAATTAAATTTTAGCTAACAAATTATTATGAATCAATGAAAATCAAACTAATATTTTACGAAAACCTAACATATAATTCTTCTTACCGTATAATTTATGTGTAATTATTCTAATATTATTTAAGGATATCACTAATGCACTTCTACTTAGTGTAGTTATCATTTTATAAACTAATCAATGAGTAATATTTCTTAAGAATATTGCTAATACACTTCTACTTAGTACAATTTTCAATACATAGGCTAATCAATCACTAATTTTTCTTATTGGTATTACTAATGTACTTCTCTACTTAGTGTAATTCTCAATGTATAAGCTAATCAATCAGTAATAGTTCTTAAGAATATTATTAATACACTTCTACTTAATTAGTCTAATTATTAATACGTGGGCTAATCAATCATTAATACTACTTAAGGATATCACTAATACGCATCTGCTTTCTAATGAATCAATAATAGTTTTTAAGACTATACTAATACATACTTAATTAGTATAATTATCAATGTATAGGCTAATGAATCACTAGCGTTACTTCAGAATACCACTAATATTACTTAACGATACCACTAATAAACTCCACTTACTTTAATTATCAAACTGAAAAAAAACAATCACAAACATTTCTCACAAATATCATTAATACGCTTCCATTTAGTGTATAATTATCAATGTATCGGCTAATCAATCACTAATGTTACTTATTAAGGATACTACTAGTTCACTAATTGTTAACGTCGCTTAAGGACACCATTGATACACTTCTACTTAAAGTAATTATCAATTTAAGATGTATGCGCGCGCGCGTGTGTGTATATATATATATATATATATATATATATATATATATATATATATATATATATATATATATATAATATACTTACGCTATATTAT